CCGGTACCGTTTTAAAAGTATCGATTTGGCACCGGTATCGAAAAAACCCCAAACGATACCCAACCCTGTCCATGACCAGAATGAAATTTGCATTGTTCCTCCTGGATCCAAGGTTCGACCAAAGGATGGACCCTCCTCTCCAGTACCCCAGCATAGAGCTTCCCAAAGAGGTTGAGTAGTGGGGATCATTTCAGGGATAGATTGGCACCACCATCTCAGTATGCCAATTCAAAGGTACTGTCCTCAACCTCCATGCAATGTTGAAGAGACGCGTCAGCCAACAGTAGCAAGAGCTACCAAGAATTCAGGGCAAATGTCATCCACCCCTGGAGTCTGACCACTGAACACTGACTACTTCAGAGACCTCAGCCCTTGTGAACGGCAAGTCCTCCTCTGAGTCTTCCAAGCCTACTTCCTCCAAAAAAGGAGTATCAGTGGGATTCAGGAGCTCCTTGAAATATTCCTTCCACCGGCTGATTAAATCCCTATTTGAGGCCAACAGTTCTCCATCCTTGCTGTAAACAGGGACAGGTGGGCGTATATGGTTTGCCAGAATCTTTTAGATCACCATGGCATCACCAAACTTTGGCCACATCTGAGTTTTTGCTTCAGTACTGCAGAGCCTCATTCTGATTAGCCTGTCGGTACCTGTCAACTACTTCAGGAGTCCCACAAGTTAACCAAGCTTGGAAGGCCTCTTTTTTCAGCCTGACAGATCCCTTCACAACTAGTATCCATCATTGGGTTTGGGAATTGCCACTGTGAAACACCAAGAACCTTATGGCTACAGTTCCACACAGCTGCTTCTGGAATGGAGTCGTCATTCATTCAGGCTCAGTGTCCCATGATTGCTTTGGGATGCAGGAGGTTCTGCCAGAGGTGCAAGTTGAAGATCTCCCACACAGAGGCCTCCACCAGATGCTCCTAGCACACCTTCACTTGGGTCTATATCAGGTCTATTCGGCATCTTCTCCTATCATCAGATCCACCTCACCACCAGGTGGTGATCAGTTGACAGCTCAGCTCCTCTCTTCACCCAAGTGTCCAAAACATGCAGACACAGATCCAATGATACAATTACAAAACTGATCGCTGAACTGCAGCCTAGGATGCTCAGGTGCCAGGTGCACTTACGAACACCCTTATGTTCAAATATGGTGTTCATTATGGACAAACTGTGGTTAGCGAAGAAATCCAATAACAGAACAGCACTCGGGTTCAGATTGAGCAGGCCATTTCTCCCAAACACAGGTTTCACTGTTGCTACCCATGTGAGTGTTAAAGTCCCCCAGCAGAACTATGAAGCCCGCAGAGGGGGCACCTTCCAGCACCCCATCAAACGTCTTCAAGAAGGCTATCAATACTAATGCTGCCACTGAGTATTTCTGCCACTCAATAGGTGCGAGTGCTGTGACATCATGCATAGTGTGTAACATAATGACGGAGAATGTGGAAATGTTTTTTTTTATTTGTGGTTTGTTTGAAATAAATAAAGATTGATTGATTGATTGATTGATTGATTGATTCCCTTTGCAGTAGGGGGAATGTAAAAATATCAGATAAGAGGGTGACGATCTGGAAGTATTTCACGCTTTGAGAACAACTAGTTGCAGAATGATTTGTAATCTTTGTAAAAACAAAAGTTTTGAAAGGTGGAAGCAGAGTTTAGTGGAAAATTTGTGCGAAAATGCGAGTAATATGAAAACAGCAATCAATGGATGATTTGGGAGTTGCTAGCTTGGGCTGTTTTGCACACTTGGTACAGCTTGTGATACATGAGGGGCTGCTATTGTAGTAAGTGACGCCATTGCCAGTGGGCAAAAAATTGTGGGGCATTTAAAGCATTTGCCACTTGTGTACAAGTTCTTGGAAGATATTCAAACTCAACTGCAAATACCATAAAAACACTTAAAATAAGATATACAAATGAGGTGGAACTGAACATTATGTATGTTACCTAGAGCTGGGCAATATGGCAAAAAAAAAATATATTTTTTCCTGTATTGGCCGATATCGATAATTATCAATATTATAGTTTCACAATGCTATTCCATGTAATAATGTAATAATCAAATAATAAAAATAACCCTATTCTGAAAAATAGAATGAATAAAAACCATATAATAATGTAACAATAAGCAAAACAGTATAATATTACAAATATGTTAAAGGGCAAACAAAATAAAACAGGACAGAACTGACTGCAACAAGTATCTGCCTCTATTCTTGGTCTCAACTTTTTAAAATTCTGAGATAGAAAAGTATCTAAACCAAACAAAAAACACTTATTTTAAAAAATGCCAAATCATGGTTAGATTTTTTTGTCCGGTGCTGCAAAATGTCACCACGCGTCACCATGTCACATGGTACAAAATCCTCGCAAGAGCAAGACAACTTAAGACAGATCATGCAGCACCTCTCAACTGGCTGCACAAACTGGAACTGCCTCCGTGACGACACAACTTTGCCCTCATTGGCTGAGTTTAGTTGCACGCATGACGTTTGTATCCCAGGAAGTTATGATGCATTATCTGCAATTTCTCCCGAAAAGCACGTAAAGCAGTGAGAACTGGTTTTCAGTTCATTTACCTGGTAAAATAAAGTTTAAATAAATTACATAAATGCTCAAACAGTACACGCAAGTTAGTGGTTTATTTATTGTTAGGTTACTGTAATGTTGCGCTGATTTATTTGTTTAATGGTCCAATCTGTGAAGGCATTCAAGTAAGAATTGCATTGTACATGACAATAAACTTTGAATCCTTGAAATACATGTATTTTACCTTTTCCCTGGCAGCAATCTTTTTACACAGGGCCACTATACACGATAGTTTATTTTCTTTCACTGCTAACAGTTTGGATCAGGAGTTGGTTATTCTAAAGTAGTAATGTGCATGCAGGTGATATTTGTATAGATTTATCTACACCCTTCTGGCAGTGCTGTCATTGCAGTCAGGTCTCGCACACTACGAGGCGTAGAAGTTGTCCGACTTGGCTGCAGTCAGTTTATACTCCACCTCTGCAGCCGCCAGCAGATCTCGCTCCACATCACGTCAGCTGAAGACAGACCTAAGCCCAAGTTGAACGCACCCATTGCTTCTTCAAAGGAGGATGGCCAAAATTATGTCGTTGGCGATTGGCTATTGTGCTTCAGTAAATCTCTACTCGATAGGCGATCGAGTTGTCTGTCTCAGCGCATTCTCTAAAACTGAGCAAACTTGGTTGACCGAGTTTTATAGTCGGTGTGTATCATTGTAATTGTCCTAATTTTTTATCGATGAAAAAAAAAATCAAGATTGTTTTATCAATGAAAAAAAAAAAATCAAGATTGTTTTATCGCCCAGCACTAGTGTTACCAGTAGTTCAATCAAAGCTTTTTTGGCATACTTTGTCTTTACTAGTTAAATATTAAAGTAAAAAGAGCTCTTGTATCGAATTCGGCAGTTCTGTATCAGAATCAGATTGGAACTGGAAAAAACATGGACAGACCCATCCCTAACCGGAAAGAATACTTACGATACCTTTCAACACCAAAATTCTGAAAACGCAAAGGTTTTGTTTCTTTGGAGTACTGTAGGTACCATAGGCAGCGTATGAAGCGAGGCTGTAATTCTTCCAGAACTGACAGGGGCAGCATATATGACTACATTTGTTCAAGGCTATCCTTACATGCTGATGAAAAGGAAGGACGCTTACAAGTAGACTACTAGCACATAAATTACGTTGTATCGAATTAGGTAGAGAATCTTGTAGTTCTACCGATACTGGTATTGACTACTAAATTTCTGGTATCGTGCCTTGCCTAGTTTCATGTATCTATAGTCAGATTTGGTTGCCAACGATAGGTCTGCCAAGGCCCCTGCCTTCAACTGCCACCCGATCCAAACACCACCTGACCCCCACGGCCCCTCCTGCAAGTGGTGGGCCCACAGGAGGGTGGACCCATGTAATCCTTTTGGGCTATGCCTGGCTGAGCCCCATGGGGAGCGGGATTGGCCATCAGGCACTTGGATGTGAGCTCCTTTCCCAGCCTGGCTCCAGGGTGGGACCCTGGTCTCCCCAGTCCAAGCAAGGTCACATCTTTTTTCTCATGTACTCGTCATGGGGGTCTATGTGAATCGCACTTAGACTGCCCGCTCACCTGGAACCAATTTGCTTTGGGAGACCATACTAGGGGCAATTGCTCCCCACAAACTTGTAGGATCACAGAGGCATACAAACCCCTCCATCACAATAAGGTGGTGTTTTATGGGGGATGTTTTTATACTTTTCATAAAATTTTCTACTTCTTATAATAATACATTACTGATCCCTGTGGGGACTGCTGCCCCCCTGACCTGACTCCAGATAAGTGGTGGATAATGGATGGAAATTTCTCTTTTCACCTACCCAATCTTGCTCTCCATGACACACAGACACGTATGAAGGTGAGAGCAAGCTCGGTAGCGAAGGCCAGCCACCTGTAGCAGGTGCCATGGAGCTAGGGATTAAGGGCCTTGATCACGGGCCCACAGATGTGCCTATTCTATTGAAGCTAGTTTCAAATCGGTGACATTCCAATCACAGGCACAGAGGCTTAGCCCAGTGAGCCACACGCCTGCCCCCTACACAATGACTATGGGGGTTCATGTCTGTCTATTAACATCTCCCCAAATGCAGAAGGCAAAAGCTTCATTAAACCATCCCCACCTACAATCACACAAAACTAGTGTAGGAAATTCAAGGATTGCAGTTCAACAGATATACTGTGTAACCAGATTCATTCATTACAACTACAATTTTTCAAATTGCATCAGGACAAAGCAAGTACAACGGAACTGATTATCAACATCTCTATCATTCCTAAATGTAACACTTTTCTTGAACAGAAAATGTTGATGCCTCATATGCAGACCTTGGCAGAAACATTTTTAAATGTATATGTTAAATTGTAGGTTTCCTGTGTTCATGATCCTTTCTGTGTTTCTTGTGTGTGTGTGTTGTGGTGGTCAAACACACACCTGCTTTGTGCCTTGTGTTTCCCAGGACAGGCTCCAGATAAAGGCAGCTCCAAATGTGCGTCCGCTACTGTAAATATGAACAAAGAGATCAATTAATTCATAAAAAATTGAGATCTGGTCAGTTAGGTATTTTAGACAGCTTATTTGCCAAGGGGTACTCTGGCTAAGTGGAAGCAAATACGTAAATTCAGACTGGTCTTATTTCTAAATTACCTTTTAATTCCAGCACATGAAGTCAGAAATGAGGATATGAGGAATGTGGTAACAGCCATACTCGTTACTGACACTATTATGAATGATATTGAACACACTCTACTAACCATATTGACTATTAAACAAAAAAAAACGCTTGTCAAACTCAAAATAAAAAGTAAAAAAATGACGCAATTTAAATAAATACACGTTTTGTATCAACTGACATGCTACGTGTATTTATTCAGAAAATTAATAAAGGCCGTCACAAATGCTGAAAGGATCATGGACTCAGATAAATCTCCAACCAAGGGTTTTTTTCAAATAGTGTTACCACCGCGATAAAAGCCATTTCAAGTTTCATTATAACGACATGGACACTCGTTTGTGTTTTTATATTTATACGAACATTTCTTACCTTTTAAATATATTTATTTAGTCATGTTGACAAGAAATGAACGGCCATTTTGAATTTATGCAAATATATCAGTTTCGAGGATATATACGTGCACGACTTTATTCCATAATGATTTATTTTTAGGGAAAATTATTAATTTTTTATTAAGTTACGTCCATTGGGTTGACAGGAAGGGCAGTTAGATGGTTAGTCATGAATACCCATTTCTACCAGAAAAAAACCGATAAGCTAACACGGATAATGGATTAACACATTAACGAGTAACTTGGCAGTGAAAAAATAAATGCAGCAACAACCCTGAAACATTCTGTGCATAAATATGCGTACAAAAACACGACAGATGCACCGCTCATAAATACTGCCGTGAGTCTATTTCCGTAAAACGGCAGCATAATTCAACTATTTCAAGGCGCGATACGGCAAAATAATTTAACTATGCAGAACGTTAATAAACGGTGTTATATCTACCGTATAGCTATAGGAACGACAATACTCTCAAAATATTTTTGTAAAAACGTGAAATATCCACCAAAAACCGTCAGTTTATCACAAATCCTCATGTTTGCCTCGGCTAACAGATATAGCTAGCTGGGCTGCAGGCCTTCCTCCTTTCTCCATAGCCCAATCCTGGCAGGTAGCAGCATTTGGTGTGCATCTCTAAAAAAAATAGCTGGTACTTACGAGATCCATCAAACACGATGCTTGAATATTCTGGTAGATATTTCTTATTTATATATATATATATATATACACATTTAAAGCAAAGTTCAAAGACACCACCAACTAGCTTTTCCCCGGCCGATTTTCGCAAACGGCGAGCCGGTTTCCAGCCACAGTTTGCGGATGGTAACAATAAGCCCAGGCAGAGGGCGGAGATAGATTTTTTTTTCTCTTAAACACACACACGCACGCATTTACATCGCAACAACATTGGTCGAAGATATCTATTAAAAATTCCTTTACTGAGTATATATAATTACACTCTACATTTTGTATTGCATTTATTCCGTGATTATATAATTATTAATTAATCTTGCTAATATGTAAACATAGACTATAAAATTTGTAGGATTTCACGAAAAACCCTGAGAAGCTGAAGTGACATAATTTGCAGAATAAATCTTTCCACTAAACAGAATCATTCCTGCCAGTATTTTGTCTTAATCTAAAAAGTGCACATTAAAAATACAAATTACAGAAAAATATTTAATGTCAATTTTGTGGTACATAAGGTCAGGAAGGAGGATAGTTATTTTCCTTGTTCCTTAATCATCACATTTTACATTTAAATCTAACTTCGTATAAAGATACGAATTCCAAGTTTATTATAAATTTATTTTTATCAGTGAAATACGTACACTACTTAGGCACTCCCAGATGTGTACCACTACAAAATGGGAAATAAGTAATCTGGGATTCATTCTGCCACATAAATATGATTTCAGGTGTTTACTATACGTTGGGGTAGGCTGAGATTTCCATATATGTTTACCCTATATCATACTACAACTATTCCAGGAAGCACAAAGCACTTCATCACATGGCGCACAGTCAACAAATGGAACTGAGAAACACCAACATATCTAAGATAGATATGGAGGAAACCCATTGAAACCTCTGCAGAATAGATTAACATTTCTACCCAAGCTATATTCACTGTGAAGCATTGGTTTCCTGTAGGCATGTAGCGATGATAAATTGAGGTACAAATTTATGATGATTCTAATTGTGAAAAAAAAAACTGTGAAACAGCTCAAATTATTATAAAGTTGTGTAATCTCTCCAAGTATGTCTCACTGGGGAGGTTGGACATCCAACCAGGCCCTTTTGTAACATGAAAAGACACGCCTATGTCCAACACATCTTCAAGTCGAAGCAGAAGTATGAGCCGATGCAAACTTGCTGAATGGAAGAATTAAGATTTTAAATAATAATAATAATTTATAACAGTTCTGTACTTGACAATAATAATAATAAAAATAATCTATGTTAGTAATAATAATAATAAACTATGTTAGCAGTTTATGTATTTACTATAAATTCCTTTTAAATATTATTTTCAAGTGTACATTTTATTTATTAAAAAGGAAAACATTTACTGTAAACCAATATGCCGTGTCACACATAGTGTGTAAATAACATGATGTTCACACAACAATGACACTGGTAAAGTGTTTCTTGAGAACATGAGCATGACGTGTAAATCAAGCACAGCAAAAGTGGTTCTAGAATGAATGGCATGATTGATAGGTTTGTGAGGTGACTTAGAGTAGGCCGTGTTGCATGTGAGCCAGGCTGATGTGCAACCCCACCTTCCCGTAGGCTTCAGCCAGAGGCTTCTCAATCTCTTAGTTTTTCCTAGCTGTAAATGTGTTATTTAGACAGCAGAAGGCACAATAACTTGGACTGTCTCCCTACTAGCAAGCAACTAATGCAGCCACTGTGAAGTTGGCCCCCCATTTGCATCCGATATAAATCAAACTGGTCTCAGTCATTTGGGCTGGTTTGTGACATTGAAATTTTCATTTGTGTTGCTTTAGTTTCCGAGATGTAAACAATGTTGGGCAAGCTACCGTACTTTTAAATGTTAGCTTTTCACCCTACAACCTACTGTTTTAATATATAGTTAGCTACACTACAAGTGGCTAACTACATCGAAGGTATTTCATCCGGTAATATTTAATATTTGTGCTGTAGGATACTCTTAAAGCAAATTAATTACTCAGTGACAAAAACTTAAGCACCCAGAAGTAATGGTCCAATTTTGATATAATTTGGCACATGTGCTGACCAGCTATGGGTATATAAATGATTCAATTGACAAGGAGCTGGCACGTCTAGTCACCAGACACAGAGGATGCCTCGTAGACATGTTAGACAGCATTACCAGCCCTTACCAGTTTGATAGGGATCGCATTGTAGGTTTGCATTAGGCCGAGTGGTTGTTTCGTGCAATTGCCTGACATGTGGGGCATGCAGATGTCACAGTCACCCGATGTTGGAACCATTAGACACATGAGGGCTCCCACACACATTGTGAAGGTTCCAGTCGCCCAAGACAGACCACACCAATGGAGGATCATTATATTGTGTGCCAAACATTACAGAACCCCATGACATCCGTGCCTGCCATCCGGACACAGGTATTGGACTCTCTACAATACCCCGTGTAATCTTAACAACTGGCATCAGCCGGACTATGGATTTCCTGTCCCCTGAATAGGCTGCCCTTAACACCAGAACAGAGACGGCTGCGTTTGGAGTGGTGCCGTAACCAGGAGGCATGGACTAATGATGAGTGGCATCGTACTATGTTCAGCGATGAATCTCGGTTCTGTATTACCACAGATGATGTTGTGTGTGTATGGTAGTGCCGAGGAGGGAGGACCAATCCTGCCAATGTTATAGAGAGACACACCAGCATTACTCCTGGCATCATGGTATGGGGAGCCATAGAGTATGACTTCAGGTCATTTCTGGTAGTAATTCGCTCCTCCTGAGACAGCACCCTGGTACAGTCTTTCAATAAGACAAGGCCCGTCTACACATGGCATGTGTGTCTGTGGACTGCCTGTGTCATGTTGAGGTCCTCCCGTGGCCAAATAGGTCCCCCGATCTTTCCCCAATTGAACATGTGTGGGATCAGCTCGGATGTCAACTCAGACTCACTGCCAATCTGCAGGATCGTGGGGCCCAGTTAAAACAGCTGTGGGCCGGCTTGCCACAGGAGAGGATACAACGGCTGTACAACTCCCTTCCACACTGCATGTATGTTTCGCTGCATGTATCCAGGCCCAGGGATGTGCCACACCCTAATGACATGGAACCAGCAGTGTCCCCATACTGCCAACTCTGTTATCTATTTGATTTGATACTATCTATTTGATCTGATATTGACACTGTGTGCAGAATTATTAGGAAAGTGAGTATTTTGACGATATCATAATTTTCATGCATATATTCCATCTCCAAGCTGTATAAATTTAAATGCTTATTTGATTTAAGCATATCAGATGATATGTATTTGTGTAATGAGGGAGGGTGTGATAAGGATACCAACACCCTATATCAAGGTGTGCATAATTATTAGGTAGCTTCTTTTCCCTAGGCAAAATGGGCCAAAAAAGAAATTTGACTGACTCTGAAGAATCAAAAATTGTAAAAAGTCTTTCAGAGGGATGTAGCACTCTCCAAATTGCTAAGATATTGGGGCGTGATCATAGAACCATCAAGCGTTTTGTTGCAAATAGTCAACAGGGTCGCAAGAAACGTGTTGAGAAAAAAAGACGCAAATTAACTGCCACAGATTTGAGAAGAATCAAATGTAAAGCAACCAGGAACCCGTTATCCAATAGTGCTGTCATATTCCAGACCTGCAACCTAACTGTAGTGCCTAGAAGCACAAGGTGTTCAGTGCTCAGAGACATGGCCAAGGTAAGGAAAGCTGAAACCTGACCACCACTGAACAAGACACATAAACTGAAACATCAAGACTGGGCCAAGGAGTATCTGAAGACAGATTTTTCAAAGGTTTTATGAACTGATGAGATGTAAAGGCCTTAAAGATTACACAATAATGACATGGCCCCCTATTGAAAACTTGTGGGCCCTTCTTAAACAGGAGATTTACAGGGAAGAAAAACAGTACACCTCTCTGAACAGTGTTTGGGAGGCTGTGGTTGCTGCTGCACAAAAAGTTGATCGGCAACAGATCAAGAAACTAACAGATTCCATGAATGGAAGGCTTATTGCTGTTATTGAAATGAAGAGTGGCTATATTGCTCACTGATTTTTTTCCATGTCAGACATGTTTATTTTGAAATTTTGTGTTGTTCGTTTATTATTCTCACTTTAACAGATGAAAATACACATGGGAGATGGGGAAAATGTACGTTTTTGATTTAGTTGCATATTAATTCTGCACACTAATAGTTGCCTAATAATTGTGCACACACGTGTATTCCTCTGATAATGTTCACACTCACATTTCCTTTGCATAACATTCAGGTTTCAGGTTTATTGACATTTTGGATTGACTGATGGCACTGTATTTGCTTCATATTAAAATTAATCCCAAAAATACAACTTGCTTAATAATTGTGCACACAGTGTATAATCATTGCGATACAGTCACATGACCTTTCACCATGTGCAGATTCATTTCATTTTCATCACTCTGCCTGGGTGCTTAACTTTTTTAGTCATTGAGTGTACATATAAAAGATAGATTTTGATAATCTGTTCAAGAACCAAAGTGCTCTTATGTATTTTAATGAACATGTCTAAAATATTGTTTGCTGTGAAGTATTATTAATTTTTTGATAAAGTTACATCATCTAGTAATATTGTTTGGTGTTTTTAACCTTTTATCACAATTTTCTTAGTGTATTATTGTTACACAAATGGATATGAATGTATACCCTATTGTGAGCATCTGGCAGGGATGCTCGCGCTGCCGGCAGTCACATAGGTCGTAAGTTGACGACGACCTGTAGTGTTTTTTAATGATGTAGTGTTTTGCCATGCTGCAACGTTACTTGTAAAAGAACAGTTATTGGAAAAGCTACAGCATTTTAAAAATAGCTGCACTACTAATAAGCGACTGAAAAAAAGTAGCTAAATTAGTAGCATTGCTAATTGTCGTTAGCTACTCCCCAACACTGGATATAAATGTTTGTATACATGGTGCAGTATTAACTTGAAACTGCATCATCAGCCAAACAGCTGAATGACATGTCATAAGGGGATGAAATCTGGATGGGAACGCCTGGTGGTGATGTCACCATGTAAAGGAATATTTATATATCAGAAATTTAAAGCAGCACAAATGCAAATTTCAATGGCATGAACTGGCAG